TATATCGCGGGGTGTTTCTTTTCTGATCCTGTGTATTTGGTGTTCTATGTGCTTCCTGTATTTGTATGGGGATGCCTTTCCTTAATTTCTGGAAATTTCTCTTCTACAATCCTGTTTATGAGCTGGTCAATACCATTAACCTGAAATTCTCCTTCCTCTATGCCTATGATCCGTAGATTTGGTCTTTTCATGGTGTCCCACATCTCTTGCATATTCCATTCCTGTGTTTTTTTTTAATTTTCCATACTCTTTGCTTGAGTGGTCCAATTCTTCAACTTTATCCTCCAATGTTGATATTCTGTTTTCCATTTCATTCATTCTAGAGGTGAGGCTATCCCCTGTTGTTTCAAGTTGGCTTACTGAGTTTTTCACTTCTTCATTTCTGCTTGAGTTTTCTACAGTGTTTCTATCTCTTTTGTGAAGTCATTCAGAAGTTTATATCTATCTTCTTTTAGTTGTTTAATTTGTTTGTTCATGTGTTCTTTAAATTCATTGAATTCCTTGATTATGTTTATGATTGTTACTTTAATTTTGTGTCATGGGTTATCTCTAGGGGGGTTCTCCTTGTAGAACGCTTGTATAGGACTGGTGTAGTTTGGTGGGGACATAGTGTTTTGGCTTTCCATTTCGAGGGAACTGATGGCTTCAGATTAGCTATTTAGGAGCACCCACAGAAGCCTAAGTCAGGTTCCAGTCAGGTATACTCAGGCCTCCTTCTAAGGTTTGGATCCCTACTAGTGGGGACTCAGACCAAAATTTGTGAAAATCCATAAGTGGGGCTGATTTTGGGACTCTCAGTTGGTCTGCTGAGTTCTTAGCCCCTATGCCAGAGGGAGGCTAGAACAAGCACTCTCTGGCGGTCTGCTGAGATCACAGCTACTACACAGATGGAGGTTGGAACCCACACTCTCAGGCTGTCTGCTAATATCTCCTTTTTTTTCTTTTTTTTTTAACATTTAAAAATATTTTATTATTTTTATTTTATGAGTGTATTGCCTCTGTGTATGTACATGTACCCGTGTTGTACAATGCTAGTGGAGGTCAGAGGAGGGCATTGGATTCCCCTGGAACTGAAGTTACAGATGGGTTGTTAGCCGCTATGTGGATGCTAGGAATCGAACCCAGGTCCTCTGCAAGAGCAGCTAGTACTCTTAAGTACTGAGCCATCTCTCCAGCTCCTTCTTTGAGTTCTTACTTGGCTATAGAGTGTTATACTTAAGACTATTTACATCGGAAGTGATAGATGATCTCAAATTGACTTAAATTGTAAAAAAAAAAAAAAGAAATAATTTTTTACTTGTATCTGAGAAATGCCACAATTGGGACCCATTGTCTCCCATCTTCTACTCAGCCTGTCCTTTGGTCAGCCTTCATGCTAGACTTTTCGTGGAACCAAACGCAGGTCTCTAATCTCTGACTTGTCCAGAATTTTTGGATTTGTGGACTCATAACTGTCCTACAGTAGTTTAGAAAAGTTCCTGGGCTTCACTTTCTACCATATCAGCTGAAGCAGTAGGTGGAGTGAGGAGGGTAGGCTTAGCTGACACAGGCCGGACCCCTCTGTGCCTCAGCAGAGGGTGTGCTGCTGCCAGGAACCTCACAAGCAGATTCTGAGAGACAGAGCTGCAAAGACCTGTTCAAAAAGTTTGCTTCTTATACTTTTATTCTGGTCCTTGTTTTAAATAAAAGATGATAGACCAGCCTATATTTAATTGCTCTTGTTTAAAGTGAATATGTTAACTATTAAAATGAATATTCATTTAAAGAATTTGGAAAAAGATACAAAATGAGCTAGGAAGTGAAAATCAAGTCACTCTTATTTATGTAATCCTCCATTTCTTCATCTGTTCTAGTTAGAGAAAGATAGATCATATGAACAGTGTTTGGAGTGTGGTTTATTCTTGTCCTGCTTTCTCAGTGGTAAGCTTGTCAGACCCAGTGCAGAATGCCCAGTAGAATTTGAATTTCAGATACACCCCCCCCCCGCAACACACACACACGGTCTCCCTGTATCCCCAGCTGGCCTGGAACTCATTATGTAGACCAGGCTGGCCTTGAACGCACAAAGATCTGCCTGCCTCTGCCTCCCAAGTGCTGGGACTAAGGACTAAGGAATCACACCTGGCAATTTTCAAGTTTCATTTTAAAATTACAGTTCTTTGTGAAAACCTGCTGTGACCCTAAAGTCTGATTTAGGCAAAACTCCTAGATGTTTCCATAGTGCCTACATGTCCTCCCACACTATCACACTCCTTTGTAATTTCTTTCCTAGCTATTGCTTGGCACAGTCACCTAAATTCAGAGTGTTCCACCCAAACTCCATAGTTTCATAAAATTATAATTATTATTAATCCAGTGCTATAAAGAAGGAAACTGACACTCAAAGGAGATAAACATCAGTTTGAGGAAGCTCTGAAGGTACCAGAACTAGGACTCAAGTCTAGTTTCTGAACCTACACAAATACCATGACACCTTTCTGAACCAAGTAGTGCCTTATACAAACATTCCTCAACTTAAAATAGGGGTATATCCTGCTAATCCTTTTTTCACATTCAACCATATTTGATCATCCGTGTTTATTACCAGGCTGGTTGAACGCACAAAGATCTGCCTGCCTCTGCCTCCCAAGTGCTGGGACTAAGGAGTGTACCACCACGCCCGGCTAAGATACACAATATATTTTCAGTGTAAGACTATCCCAGAATATTGTATGAGGCATACTAAAAATTTGTTTATTTGAAATTCAGAGTTAGGAGCAGTGGCACATACCCGTAAGCCCAGCTGCTTGGAGGTTTTGAGTCAGGAGGATTTTGAGTTCAAAGGCCTGCCTAGGCTGCATAGTGGGTTCAAAGTCAACCTGGGTAACTTAGGGAGACCCTGTCTCAAACTAAAATTTAAAGAAAAAGGGCTGGGGATACAGCTCAGTAGTGGTGCTTTCCTAACATGCAATGCCCTGGGTTCCATCCTTAGTACCACGAAGGGAGGGAGGCAGGGAAAAGAATAAGAAAAGAAGGAATGAATTAAAAACCAACTAGCATCCTATATATATATATTAAAATTTTTTTCATATACTTACTTACTGGGGAGGGTGTGTGTGTGCCACAGTGTACATATGGAGGTCAGAGGACACCTTAAGGGAGTCATTTCTCTCCTTCCACTATGTGGAACTCAGCTTGTCAGGTTTGATAGCAAATACGTTTACCCACTGACCGTCTCGTTGTCCTCATCCAATATTTTTACTTAGTAAAATAAAATCCTCCTTACTGAGGATCTCTTTGAAAAGCTTCCTATCCTTAAGATTCCATAGTATCATGAAAGAGGATAACCCTTATTTTGTCTCTAGACAACAAAGGTCAGATAGAAATGCTTATACATAATGGTATAATGGAACTGAGGCCTTAACTATCCCCTGTAGCATTTCTAACTCTTCTTGGCTTTTCAGTTATTCTCTCATATCTCCTTGCATTTCAGTGTTTCTTAACAAGGCTTACTCTAAATTTTGTGAAAAATTTAAGGCTGACTTTTGCCTAACTCAGGTATTTGCCCTGAACCAAGTATTCTGCCTTCAGACACACCTTAATTCTTGTCTATGGACTGGGCTCTGTCCTCTCCATAGGACATTTTTATCTCCCCCCAGGAACTTATGAGTCAGTGTTTACTCTGATGTTATTAGTGGTTAAGTAACTTACCCAAAGTAACTATTATTTGTTTATAAAACTTTCACAATGCTTAAAAGTTCTGATTTGTAATCCAATCTAATTATGTGTTGGATTTGAGTTGGGAGAGGGAGAAATCATATAAGCGAGATTTGAAGTGTAGTTTATTCTTGTTTTTGAAGAAATTCCTCGTGGCTTGGTCTGTGGCATTAACCGAGACTGTGCCAGCACCTTCATCAAGTTCTTACTGGAGAGACAGAAGTGGCCTGAGGTGCTTCTGCTGCTCACCCGCAAAGTCAATGGGCAGCCACACCTCAGAAACTGCCTCATCAAAAACTGCGACCTCTCAGACCTGGACATCTGTACCGTCATCCCACATCTCAGCACTTGGGACCAGAGGAAGACCCAACTGCTGGGCCGCCTGATTGATAGTGGAGGTGAGGGTGCTTGGACAAAATGGGACGCGGGCTCTATGAGTTATCTAGACAGAGTCCAGACCACAGCCCGGCTGTTCCTTCCTTTGGAGAAACCATCAGATTTTGAGTCCTCCTCTTTCCTATGCCTTCTTGCTTTGAAACACTGAGGGAATTAAGGAATGCTTGATTCCATAATCCAGTTGCCTTGAGGAACACTGCACTGAATTCCAGTTAGCTCTGTTCTCTTTTTCTCTTGTGTAGGAAGTACTAAGTGTGTGGAAGGCCCTTAGCTCTGGCTCAGCCACAGTGGTCAGCTCCACCTGGCCTTGGCTAAACTTTTTTATGCCCTAGATACATCATATGGCCCTTTGTCAACTCATCTGGCATTCTTTCCTAATCAGTGGATTAGTTTGTGGGTAGAAACATGGATACTCCAGTCACAGCAATCACATGTGGCTGGCTGCATGTCTGGAATGTGCAAGACATCTTGCTAGACTGGATAAAATAGTTCAGAAACACCAAACTCCTTCTACCCCTAGTCCTCACACACCAATTCATGCTCTACTGTGTGGCCTTGAGCATACTGTTCATGCTTTTATATCATTTACAAAATTGAGTATTAAATGAGATCGCATGTACAAGCCTTTGGAAGAGTACCTGTGTGGTTTTCTACTTTCTTTGCTATGTAAGAGTAAGTGCCTTTCATAAAGAGCAATAACACACTGGCCTCAGCTTTCAAAGTGCCACATACAGTGTGGCTTTTAGGCATTGGCTCTGTGCACAGGGAGATGGAGTGTCTTTCACATGTTATTTCTTCAAGTTCCTTCCTTGTATGTGATGCTTCCTCAGAAATTACTGCCATAGTGGAATTCCTGTTTTATTCTTTGATTTAGCTAACACATCTCCAGGACCATGTACAGAAGGGCTGCGATTTACAGGGATAGGCTGCCTCCAGGTGGAGGTTATAGAGGCTGCAGTTCAGAGGGAACTATAGACTGAGCTCAGAAGGTAAGGTTGTGGGAGGAGGTGTGTCAGGATGGGTAGAAGCAAAGAGTTAGGAAGTTCACTCAAGTCCTGACCCCTGATTTTGTTAGACATATGTATGGTGTTAGACAGCATTAAGGTTTCTCTTGTTATTAAGCTCTGTCCTCCAGGGTAATGCATGATAGGAAATATGGTCCTGTGGTGGGACTAGAGAAAAGACAGAGGAGGACACTTCCCAGAAAGGGAGGTGGTGAGGGAACATTTTGGAAGTCAAGTTAGCGCAATGGGGCTCTTGATCCCTCTCTTCTGCCTCTGCCTCTCCCCCAGCACGGCCTGAGGGTCTCCAGGAGAGCCAGAATAGACCACTTCTCATGTGCCTGAGACACAAAGACTTTGAGTTGGCTTTTCTTCTCCTGACCAAGGGTGCAGACCCCCGTGGCGTTTCATTCATGCAAGGTGACACTCCTTTGCATGCAGCACTCCACATATTTCTGGACATCAATGGTAAGCACTCTTTTTCAATCAGTTTTCCCTGGGGGAGGAAGCTGAATATCTGAATTGATGCTATACTTTTTTCTTTCTTTCTTTTTTCTTTTTTTTTTTTCTTTTTGAGACAGGGTCTCCCTGTAGCCCCAGCTGTCCTGGAACTCACTATTTAGGCTGGCCTTGAACTCACAGAGATCTGCTACCTCTGCCTCTTGAGTGCTGGGATCAAAGGCGTATGCCACTGTGCCTGGCTTGAATTGATGCTATGCTTAAAAAAAATCTTTTCATTTGGGAAAAAGCAATCTGAAAAAGGCCCACTTCCTGGCCAGGCCTGCCCACATCACCTGGTCTCTCACCCATAACATGATGGGAATAAGTGACCATCATGGTGAATGATCAGAGTATAGTGCAGGATTTTTAAATTCCAAAGTTGTCTATCAGTGGCTGACATGCACTTTCCATGTATGTGCATCCTTTTCAAGAATCCTGACATAAAGGATCTTGTTAGAATATCACTGATTTATTTTAGGAGATACATCTGGGCTGGTAATTCTTATTGGCAGAGGCTCTCTTGGGCATGGCCTCTGTTTTCTACCTGCCAGTATACCCTCCTGACTATGACAACCACACTGCCTCTAAACATTGCCAGATTTCCCATGAGTGGATCATCTTGTTGAGAACACTGGATTATTTAATGACCTCCATCCTTGGATGTGGTCAGTGTTGTACGACGCCTCAGACTGGCACTCAATCCCGAATCTTCTGCCCCCTGAGAGGAATGGCTTTGCACTCACAGGATTTTGTTTTTGTCTTTCAGCTGACATTGGCTTTAACTTCCTCAGCCACCTGTTGGCTTTATTTTGGTCTGACCCTGCTGAATTTTACTATCTTAATCCTAATGTCCAAGACAGTAATGGGAATACACTGATGCACCTCCTCTTCCAGAAGGGCATGCTAAAGCGTACTAAGAAGCTGATAGACCTGCTGGTGAAATTTGACATCAACTTCAACCTGAAGAACAAAGAGGGCAAAGATGTGCGGCACCGGATTAAGAAAAATGATGCTCTGCTTTTGGCCTGGAACAAAGCCCTGACAGAGAACAGGAGGAAGAACCGGCAAGACTCTGCTGCCCACCTGGGAAAGATGTCAAAGTCTTCTGTCTCTGGTCATACATCTCAGCTCAAGTCCCAGGGTTCCTTCAAGACACTGCCGTGTGGTGACACTACCTGCCCCCTTTCCAAAGGGGACACAGACATTCTCCCTGATGCCCATGTGACCAGGCAGGAGCCTGAAGCCATCAGGACACGTTCACTGAGAGACCGCCTTGTACAGGACATCATAGTTCTGATCCAGAAGGTTGAGTTGGATATGTCCCTCTCAGAGGTCTATCCTCAGCGAGGTCTTCTCAAGGCAGCAGCTGGAACAGAAGGAAAGAAAGATAAACTCCAGCCAATCCAGAGTGTGGGGGACCCTGGCTGTAGGGGACGCAACTCTGCTACCCCAGAGACTGAGGAAGGGAATGCTCAGGCAGGCTCTGGGGCCTCACAGCTTGTTCCTGCTGGTAACAGAGGGGGAGTGGGCAGTGATAATCAGGACAACTGGACCATGCAGGAGATTGAGGCCTGCCTCCAGGACTTTGATAATATGACTTGGGAGATTGAATGCACTTCAGAGATGTTGAAGAAGCTGTCTAGTAAGGTAATGACCAAAGTCATAAAGAAGAAAATAATCCTTGCCATACAGCAGCTGGGGAATGGTGAGTGGACCCAGGGCCTGCAGAAGCGGCTGAAGCACTCAAAAGGAAACATCCAGCTCTTTGAAGCAAAGCTGGATAAAGGTGCCAGGATGCTGTGGGAGCTCGCCATTGACTTCTCTGCTAGGTGCAGTGAGAACTCAGAGAAAATAATGGCTACCGAGCGGAATGCATACTCCCTGGAAAAATCAGGGCGGGTCTACACGGAAATTATCCGCATCTGGGACATTGTCTTAGATCACTGCAAGCTGTCAGATTCCATCATGGCCATCTGCAGTGCCTACACACGTGGCTTATCCTGTGTCCTTCGCAAGAAGCTGAAGGGTATCAACAAAGGCCAAGTATCAGCTAACATGAAAATCCAAAAGCGAATACCCCGCTGCTATGTGGAAGACACAGAGGCTGAGAAGAGCAGAGAGCAGGTGGATCCCGAGTACTTTCCTCCAGCCAGTGCTGTGGAGACAGAGTATAACATCATGAAGTTCCACAGCTTCAGTACCAACATGGCCTTGAACATCCTCAATGACATGACAGCAACCGTGGAGTATCCCTTTCGAGTGGGTGAGCTTGAGTATGCAGTGATCGACCTCAACCCCAGGCCACTGGAGCCCATCATTCTCATTGGGCGGAGCGGCACTGGGAAGACAACCTGCTGCTTGTACAGGCTTTGGAAGAAATTCCATGTCTACTGGGAGAAAGCTGAGCAGGCAGGAAGCCCATTGCTGTCCAAACAGATCTTGCCAAAGCGAAGGTTAGAAGTAGTACCTGGAAAAGAAGGTCCAGGTAGGGAGGAAGAAGAAGATGAGGAAGAGGAAGTTTACATCAAAGTGGAAACAGTAGATGGCATAGATGAGGAGCAAGAAAGTGAAGCCTGTGCAGGGGGAGCCATGATGGAGCCAGGGGACAGCCAAATGGCAGAAGAACATGTGCCAGAACACCCCCACCAGCTGGAGCATCTGCACCAGATCTTCGTGACCAAGAACCATGTCCTATGCCAGGAGGTGCAAAGGAATTTTATTGAGCTCTCCAAGTCTACAAAGGCCACAAGTCACTACAAACCACTTGATCCTAGTGTCCATAAACTCCAGGACCTGAGGGATGAGAACTTTCCTCTGTTTGTCACTTCCAAACAGCTGCTTCTCCTGCTTGATGCCTCTCTACCAAAACCATTTTTTCTGAGAAATGAAGATGGGAGCTTGAAAAGAACCATTGTAGGATGGTCCACACAGGAAGAGTTTACCATCCCCAACTGCGAAGAAGATGAGGAAGAGATTGAGGCAGACGGGAACTATATCGAGGAGGATAAGGCTGAAGAAACACATGCAGGTGACAACGACCCCCGGATATATGTGACATTTGAGGTGTTCACCAATGAGATATGGCCCAAAATGATAAAAGGGAAAACTTCCTATAACCCAGCATTGATTTGGAAAGAAATAAAATCTTTTCTGAAGGGTTCTTTTGAGGCTCTTAGTTGTCCCCATGGGAGACTCACTGAGGAAGCCTATAAGAAATTAGGGAGAAAGCGATCCCCCAATTTCAAGGAAGACAGGAGCGAGATCTACAGCCTGTTCTGTCTGTATCAGCAGATCAGGTCCCAGAAAGGCTATTTTGATGAAGAGGATGTTCTATACAACCTGTCTTGGAGGCTGTCGAAGCTCAGGGTACTCCCCTGGTCCATCCATGAGCTCTATGGTGATGAGATTCAGGACTTCACTCAAGCTGAGTTGGCACTGCTGATGAAGTGCATCAATGATCCCAATGCCATGTTCCTCACTGGAGATACAGCTCAAAGCATCATGAAGGGTGTGGCCTTCCGCTTCAGCGATCTGCTCTCTCTGTTCCACTATGCCAGCAGAAATACAGTAGACAAACAATGTGCTGTCCGGAAGCCCAAGAAGATCCACCAGCTGTACCAGAACTACAGATCTCACTCAGGTAAGTCAGGCCTTGGGGTTGCCTGCTAGGGAGGTACTGGAACACTGACCTTGGGCACTTTTGTAGCAGAACAGTCATAATTTGAACATGCTCATGAAAAGAAATCTTAGGATTTCTGCTACCGATCATTTGAAAGTTGATAATTGAAGATGTGGTTGGATACATGTGAACCTGTAAATAACTGTGTCTTTAGGGAGCTTCCATGTCCTGAAAACATTTCGTAGGAATGTTTAAAGAGCTTTGAAAAACTTTGGTTAAATCTCCTGTGAAGTGGTGCCAGTTGTCTGGCTTGGGGTTCTTTAAGCAGACAGAAATTTTGGGTAGACAAGAAGGAGACAGTGATTCTTGTGTTCTTACTGTATTCTATACCAGCCTCATATGAATATTCACCAACTGTAGTTGTATAGATACATGCCTGCCTTCAGTTCTTTAGGAGGCAGTCTTTCAGTTGCAACAGTAAGCTGGAACTGAGGTCCCATAAACCCTTTTAGTACAGAAACACATTTCTACCTTCATCCACAACACCCAGAGTGATATGAGTCAGGGCCAAAATGATAACGAAGTGGGAACTGGACATAAGTTTGTAATGATGCATACTGCCAGAGCCAATCCTATGACAACCTCCCCCTCCCCCCCAAAAAACCCACCTCAAATAACCAAAAAACTCAGTGGCACTATGAAGTATCTGACTTGTTCTTTCTGTTTTGTCCTAGGAATCCTCAATCTTGCATCTGGAGTGGTGGACTTACTTCAGTTCTATTTCCCAGAATCCTTTGATCGCCTTCCAAGAGATTCTGGTCTTTTTGATGGTCCCAAGCCAACTCTCTTGGACTCTTGCAGTGTAAGCGACTTGGCAATTTTGCTGCGAGGGAACAAAAGGAAAACCCAGCCCATCGAATTCGGTGCCCACCAGGTAAGCTTCTTGTGATTGTATGTTTTGAAATGAAAGTCACTTTGAAATTGCAAAAATGATGAAAATGAATTTTTGTGCAAGGTAGAATTCAATAGCTCTTGGTCCAGAATTTCTGTGTGTTTGAGATAGGTGAGTGACTAGTACCATTTCCCCAATCCTGGCTGACTGAGTCTACTGGGGCCATTTCTTGTTAAAGGCATCACTTGTTTCTCATGGAGACAGGTGGAGCTTTACTTGGTTTTTCTTTGTAGAATTTGATATTGTTTTGGTCTGTTTTACTTTAGGTGATTCTTGTTGCCAATGAAATGGCAAAAGAGAAAATTCCGGAAGAGTTGGGGTTAGCACTTGTGCTAACAGTTTACGAGGCAAAAGGATTGGAATTTGATGATGTCCTCCTTTACAACTTTTTTACCGATTCTGAGGTATGTCATACTGATTTTTTTCACACAATCCAGGTCTATATCTGAGCTGAGCTTCCACTCTGGGAAAACAATTTGAAGCTGAGGGTAAGAGTTTGTCACAGGTACAGATACCCTTGTGTGTTTTAGAGCCTTTTCCATTTAGTGTAGGGATGTTTATAATGGCTGTGGATTGATCCACAGAATGTTATGGACTAGTTCTCCCTGTGCATGTCCCTGGATTTCTTGTATTCTTGTTTTCTGAGTGGCCAGTATTCAAACCAGTTTTCATTAGCTACTGTTATCATTGGCTCCCGGGGATGGCTAAGTTGGAGCAAGCTCTAAGGAGAGCCTTACAAATGAAGGCAAGATTAGCAATGTCTATTCTAGGAGAACAGAACTGGGCAAGGTCAGTTCATAGCAAGCCAAATCCAGGAAGACAAATGAAGCTTGCTTCTCATCTACTAGACCAGGTAATGTAGGAGACAAGAACAGTCACTCTGTGTTAAGCTCCCTTTGGCATGCTTCACTACCACTGCTTTGGCTACTTCCATGTAGACCATGGATGCCATAGTCCCTGGATTAACCCCCAGTGACCTCTGTCAGCCATTGACATGTCTCCTGAGTCTTTGTGACTGTTAATAGAACCACTAATTCAGGATCATTGTCCTAGGGTTTCTAGCTACTGGTTTCCATTTGCTAACACTCTCTTTTGGTAGGGCCCAGGATGGCTGCTATGGGGTCTTCTTTGGGCACTCAGAGGACTGTGTTCCAGTGCCTTTTGCAGATTTCCTATTACATGCTTGAAGTGGTTGTTTTTATACTTAAGTTGGAGCATTGTTGGATTTGATACTTTAAAATCTACCCCAGAAGACTAAGTATGGTGGTGAATGCCTTGAATCCCAGCACACTTGGGTGGCAGAGGCAGGTGGATCTCTTTGAGTTCAAAGCTAGCCTGGACTACATAGCAAGTTCCAGATCAGCCAGGCCTATATGATGAAGACCCTGTTTTACACACACACACACACACACACACACACACACACACACACAAACAAACAAAACCCTGCCCCAGAGCTGATCTTCAAAATAGAATCCTCACATTTTTTTCTGGTCATTTAAAAATATATTTTATGTGTGTGTGTTTTGCCTGCATGTATGTATATAAGTGCACCATGTGCATGCAGTGCCCATGAGGGCCAGAAGAGGTCATCAGATCCCCTGGAACTTGAATTATAGACAGTTGTTGGCCACCATGTGGGTGCTGGGACCAAACCCAGGTCCTTTGGAAGAACAGCAAGTGTTTTTACCTGTTGAGCCATTTTTCCAGCCCCTTTTCTGATCATTTTAAAATGTTATAGTTGACTTAATAATATCTATGCTTAATACTGCTATGGGTGTTTGCAGTTTATTTTCAAATGAAATGTTTCATTCCACCAACACTTTGAGGTCATAAGTATTTTTGTTATTTTCATTCTGTAGATAAAACCAAGGTTAAGCGAATTGCCCGTAGTTGTAATATTGGTGGTAGACTATGAAGACAAATTCAGATGTTCTGAGTTCTCTATATATTTCCATTGTACTCCCTTCCTTTAAAAGTTTCACATGTGAATCGGCTTCCAGAATCTTTCAAAATAAGCATACCATTGCCATCCTTATGTGCAGTCCCTCTGTTAGAGTTTGTTAATAAATCCAATGCATACTCATTAACCCTGCTACCATTTTTCATCTCTGAAGTCTAACTTTTTTTCCTAATAACACATCCACTGGTCATGGTTGGACTGAGGCTCTCCTGAAAGAGAAAGGGGTAAGACTTTGTTGTTCCTGTCCTTTATTAAGCACCATTTGTATGTACATGCCAGCGATGAGCTCAAAGGGCTCTGTTTTATAGATGTATGTGGGGACCTCTGCTCTTTTGTACCTGATCTCGGAAATGGCACAGGCTTCTCCCTGTCCTCCCACTCAGGACTCAGCGAATTGCATGAAATTCAGAAAAACAAAAGTAATGAACATTCAAACTGAGCTTTTTGGTGATATTTGCTTTATCCTGTGTACATAATGAGACTTCTAAAAAGCTTTGGTGTGCTGCTTTCCAGTTGTAATGCAATTGTGCATTTCCTGGCATGAAGTATACCCTCAATTTATCACTTACAATCTCCAGACCAGAAAGAGTCTTCAGGTGACTGAGAGGGAATACTTTAGTTAAAGGAGATGTAGGACGGATCAAACCTATCTCCACCCTCCATGGTCTGGAATTCAGGGTTCTTTTGGGGTGATAGGGTGAAAGTTGTTGAACAATGATTGCTATTTGACATGGGGGACTGTGGAGAGCTTCTGTCTTCCTCCCTGTTAAGAGTCCCAGACAGGCACTGCATTGGAGCACCTAGCACCTGGGGCTGGGGAATGCATGGACATGGGTGGAGGGAAGGTCCTTGGTGTCTCTGTGATTCTTCATTCTAGGGTTATTTTGCCTATTCAACTACATGATCACCAGGTTGTCTTCTGAGTGTGGAGACAGCTGAGGGGTGGTCACACTCAACTCTTACAGGATGCTTCTTCATCTTTGGGCAGAGGAAATTATTCTCCCTGTCACCCCTAAACTATCCTTTGGAATTTACAAGGGTGATTATTATTTACTCTCTGTCTCAGGGAACATTCTTTCTTTTACACTCATGTGTGAATGGGTTGGGAAGGACTTTGAAAATTGTAAGTTTTGTGGTCAACTTCCTAGTAGAATCGAAGCCTTTCCCTCACAATTATTGATTCCAAGAGAAGAAGCTGGAGGATTTCTATGCTGCTCCTTTTATTGCCACAGGTGCTGTAAGCCTGTTATCCTTGGTACAAATACACATACCCCTGTTGAGTGTCTCCATCTTGAAAATAAAATGTGCTTGCTTCCTAAAAACAGGTCACCCCTGAACCAACTGAGCAGCTTTTGCTTCTTTCCCAGCAGTTCTCAAATGCATTGTGTTTCCCTGGCCTGTTCATGGTCAGCCATCCCACACCTCCTTGTCTGCCAGGAGGGTACTCTTGACTGTCCAGCACTGGATTCTCTTGTCTGCTTGCTAACTAGCTTTGCAAAGAAGATAGTCCTAAATATGTCCTAAAGATTTTTTCTGAGGTTTTCACTGTTTAAATGATTTCACTTATAGTTAACATCACCTTTCAGAACATGGTGATTAACTCTGTAATTCATTATTATAGTAACATGACCACTCCAGTTAAATCAATAATGTTTTAGAAATTTAACTTAATTTATTAATCCACTTCGTGTTTTTGGCATCCTTGAAAATGACAAAGAGGGCAAGTAGATTTTATTTTTTAAAAAGGCTAGCAACAGTAAAGTATGAAGTCTGAGACATCTAGGAATTTTGGTTTTTGGTACCACATGGAACCTGGGCATTTCAGCCTTGCTGGGGTCTAAAACCACAGCCTACTGAGACCACTTCCATCCCACTACCTGTTTTGTACATCCTGTGGACTAAGAATGGATTTTACATTTTTGAATAATTAGGAAAATATTCAAAAGAGAATACTCTGGCACATGGAAATTATATGAAACTCAGGTGTCCACAGATAGTTTTATTGATACATATGTATTACATATTATCTATTCTATTACATGTTATCTGTGCTTTAGCACTGTAGCAGGTTGATCAGTTCTAAGAGAGTCCAGGTACATGCAAATATGATTCTTTAGGGAAAAAGTGCCAGCCCCTATTCTGTGCAATCACTTCCACTTTGGGGTTTGGGTAAAGTTTAAAAAATGGGTCAAAAGTAAGCATTGTATTACACTCAGAATTGATTATCTTCTTTGCTTTCCCCAACAAATTTGAATGCTTCTATTATCCACTATTAAGAACATTGTGTCCAAGGTAAGATAGTTAACAAATGGAAGGAATGAGTTACTAATGTGCCTTGTCTGATTTTAGAGACTACCTTACATTATGTAGCTCATAGCATCTTAGTTTTCTTCCACTCTTAGCTGAATAGTTTAGATAGTTCTGTCACATGTTTCATGACTGTTGTCCCTATGTGGCATTTCTTTACTACACATTGTGAGAAGGGACGAGGAGTCCCCTGTTCATACTGTTTGTAGATATTCTGTCAATTAGCAGAGCACCATGGGCCCTTAGCATTCTTCCCTATAGTGGGCACATGTGTCTGGCTTCTCAAACCATTTTAGCCAAGAGTCTGGAAAATTTTCATGCTAGTTTCTTTGACCCTTGCCCATGCAGCCTTTGCTTCCTTCCATCTCTTCTGAGACCACAGGATGCACTCCTCCATATAGCCTATGTTGAAGGCTTTACCTCTGGGTGGGGTTCAGTTCTCCATGAAGCCTGGGAAGCACTCAAAAGTAAATTATGCTGTTCCTTAACTTGCTGTTGTTGTTGTCCAGGCTTACAAGGAATGGAAGATTATTTCCTCATTCATACCTTCATCTGACTCCAGAGAGGAAAACTGGCCACTGATTGAAGTACCCTTGAAGAAACCCAGCTCTTCTCAGGCTCGGTCCCTTATGGTGAACCCAGAAATGTACAAGGTGAATCTTTGCTGTTTGTCTACCTATTGATCTAACACTGAACCAGCAAGTAAGGCTTGGAGAGAAATGAGATGAAAAGTAGGGCTTTTCACCTGGCTGGTCTTCCTTTTTATTATTTTTATTTTTTGTGTATTCATGTATTGCCTGCATGTAGGTAAGTGCACCCATGTCGTGCAGTGCCCGCAGAGGACAGAAGAGGTTATCGGATCTCCTGGAACTGGAGTTATGGACAGTTGTTAGCTGCCATGTGGGTGCTGGGATTCGAACCTGGGTCTTCTGCAAGAACAGTCAATGTTCTTAACAGCTGAGCCATCTCTCCAGCCCCTGACTGTTTGAATTTTTAAAAAGTGGAAGTGGGAGAGCGAGAGGTGGTGAATGGAAAAAAAGGCAAACCATAACAATTTTGAGATCCTAGTGTCTGTTCAAAGCTCTCAGTACTTCAAAATTTAATTAAAAATTTTTATCTTGCCAGGCGTGGTGGCACATGCCTTTTTAATCCCAGCACTGAGGAGGCAGAGGCAGGCAGATCTCTGTGAGTTCAACAGCAAGAACATCCAGTGTTCTTAACCGCTGAACCATCTCTCCAGCCCCTATTTTATTTTATTATTTTATTATTTTAAATTTTATTTTATATCCTAACTAGTTTATTGGGCTTGCTAACAGAGCATAGGGTGGGGCGTTATTTACAGAAGAGTGGGTGCCACCCCTACTTTTACAGCTGCCCTGGAAAGTCCACACTCAAATATAGATCCTGTGACTTCCCGACAGCTGCACAAAATGGCGAGAGAGGTGCCTCATGACATTTTCCGTTATTTTATTTTTTTCATGTGTATGAGTGTATTGCCTGCATGTATGTAAGTGTACCCGTGTCATGCAGTGCCCACGGAGGTCAGAAGAGGGTTTTGGATCCCCTGGAACTGCACTTATGGAAAGTTGTTAGCTTCCATGTGGGTGCTGGGAACTGAACCTGGGTCCTCCACAAGAGCAGCCAGTACTCTTAATCACTGAGCTGTCTCTCCAGACCCTCTTTCACAATTTTCTACATGTACACTATGCATTTGGCTGCTCTCTCCCTCTCTCATTTCCCTCCCACCTCTGCTAATCCCTCCACCCCCAATATCTCCTTCCTCTGTTTACTAGTTTTGGTTTGTTTAGTGTTCACAGCATTTAATCAGGGCTGTCTGTGTTATCCTGAGTTTGGAATAACCATCAGGGTCTGGCAATCTCACTAGTGGGTGCACAACTGGATATCCCGGTCTCCTAGAATTTGACTGTTAGGAGGGCCTGACTTCTGTGGACCCAGTGCTAGTATACACAACTGCTGTGAGTTTGTGGTTGCTATATCCTTGTCCTGCTTTAGAAGATGGCATTTTGCAGCCCCTGGCCCCATCCTCTAGCTCTTTCTGTTCCCTGAGCCTTATGGGAGTGGTGCACCTGTCTTGTCTAGGGCTGAGTCTTTAGCCATGCTTTATTCTCAGCATCTTATGTGGGCACCGGTCTTTGCATTAACATCAGTGCTAAGTGTGAGACGCCTCTTTAGGAGTAGTCAGAGAGGCCCCAGAGTCCCTCTAAACAATACTGACTCCTACCACTCCTTTTCATTACCACCAGAACTAGTTGATAAGACCGTACTGCTGTAGATACCTCATCCCTTCTAAGTAAGATTTAGAGAAATCAAGCTGGATCTGGGCGAGAAGATTTCCTTCTCTGCTGACTGGCTATCATGGGGGCCGGGCCAAATGGTAGTATGCAGGCTGCTGTGAACTCTACTAATTGTAATACCAACCTTCCAGGAAAGAGGTGTCCATTGAGTTCCAGGCCAGCTGGGGCTACAGGGAGACCCAGTCTCACAAAACAACAAAGGAAAAAACAACAAAAAAGAAGCAAATATTTAATATGAAATAGGTTTGTCAATGTGGTGTGTGTGTGTATAAAATAGATGTTTTATTTGGCCATAAAAAGAACAAAATTATGTTGTTTGTTAGGAAAATGGATGGCAGGAAATCGTCATGTTAAGTGAAATAGGGCAGTCTCACAGACAGTGACGAAACAAAAAAATTTATCTTAAATTTTTTTTGTGTCTGTATGTGTATCTGTGTATGTGTGTCGGGTAACCATGGAGGTGTTGGAGCCCCTGGAGCTGGAGTTACAGGTGGTTGTGAGCCACCTAATATGGGCGCTGGGAATTGAATCCTGGTCCTCTGCAAGAGCAAAAGCACCTTTCACTGCTAAGCCATCTCTCTCACCTCTAGTTTTTTGTGGGCTGGTAAGATGGCTCAGTAACTCAGTGAGTAAAGGCAGTTGTCATGTAAGCCTGACTACCCTGAGTTTGATTCCCAGAACCTATATATGGAAAGAAGGAGCATTTATTTCACAAAATTGACCTGTGACCTGTACATGCCTGCCCTCCCCATACTATGCACATGCATACATGGTAATAATAAATAAAAGTAATTTAAGCTTAGTTTTTATATTTTTCCAAAATCAGAGTAAGCCCCTTAAAGCATATTTGCATTGTCACTGGAGACAAAAGGCTCATCATTTTTGTCCTCACCCCTCCAAGCTCCTCAATGGAGAGCTGAAACAGCTGTACACTGCCATCACACGAGCTCGGGTCAACCTCTGGATCTTTGATGAAAACTTAGAGAAACGGGCTCCTGCTTTCAAATATTTCATTAGGAGAAATTTTGTCCAAGTTGTGAAGACAGATGAAAATAAAGGTAAGATCTCACTGAAACATTCTTACTGTTGGAGGAAATATGTGTCTCTCAACTGTTCTGATGGTCAGGGAGAGAAGAGAGTATAGTCTTTTGTTTCCGGTTTCATAGTGCTGAAGATTAACTAAGGAGTTTAGGTATGTGAGGCATGTGCTCTACCACTGAGATACACTTCCAGCCTATGGTGTAGTTAAAAAATTTTTTTTTTCTTTTCTCCCCATGATCTTTCAGAAACAGCATTTTGACTCATTTATGTTCGTATGTTTCTAAAGAGTGATTGCAATGGATTTGGGAAGGTTAGCTCCTTTGGGGAACATCTTTTATTTGCCCTTTAAAAACGAGTGTTTTAAGGCTAAGTAAGGTGGCACATGCCTTTAATCCAAACACTTGGGAGGCAGAGGCAGGTAACTCTCTGTGAGTTCTATGTTAACCTGGTCTACATAGCAAGTTCTGGGTCAGCCAAGGTTATATAGTAAGACCCTGTCTCGAAAAAAAAAAAAATGAGTGTTTTGGATAAAGGTTATAGGAAATGGGCCACGTTGATTAATACAAGTTGCCGTGACTTTTGAGTAGCTAATTGTAATTGTCTATCAAAATAAAGATCACATGGCCCTGTTCATAATTATAAGAGAATGAAAACAGCCTAAGCATCCAATATGGGAAAAGATTTTTCTTTTAATGAAGTACCGTGTAAACCATTAAAAAGATGGATTTCTATTTACTGATATGAAAAGATGCTCAAGATGTATTAGATGAAAACGAGCAAGATACAAAACAATGTAAAATGACCCAACTTTAAAAGAACTTTATAATATAGAACTGTATAAACTATGTCTATCAGCATATAGCAGAATAGAATGTTTGCATGTGTATATGTACATGTATATGCATACAAACACCTGCTTGCATGTCTTTAACTATCCAGCCTAATTCATTGCCTGTGGTGATATATTAAGAAATGGGTTTGAGAGTTCAGACGGTGAGAGAGAATGAATTGTCTGACTCTGTTTCTTGAGTATCACAAAACAAGGACCAAGAATTCAGGTCGTAAAGGAGTCATCAGACAGTTAAGCTGAGTCAAGCTACTCAGCACTTGATTATAGGGAATAGAGGGTTCCATGGAGGATCATGTGGAAAAAGTGCACATATGTACACCTATTATTTCTGACACAGACTTTATAATGCGTATCTCTGGTACAGGACTGGTGAGCATGTAGTTTTGGGCAGATGTAGACAGTATCTCCTTCTTACCTTTGTGCCCTCTGTGCTGTTCACAGGGTTTACCAAAATCATTATCACGTATTATTTTCATAATTTACAAAGACTGGCTAATTAAAAAATGAAGCTCTCTGGGTAAGAGAAGGAAGAGAAAAATAACCTTCCCTCCATCTAGAAGAAGACTGCCGTCTTTCTTGAGGGCTAGTTAATGAGTTGGTTCCTCTAGGCTGCAGTTAATTTCTCTAAGGGTAAGGGAAAAAGCAGGGAGCTGCTGCAAAGACTCTTGCTGGTTTCCTAAGTATTTCTCAGCTGGTCTTATGGAAGCTATTTGGTTATTGCTGATGGCTCAGTTGGGGACCAGGATTTGATATTCTATTCCTAGGACTTCACTGTTGTGGTGTGATGAGAAAAGTTGAAGGCTTAAAATTAAAAACCTGTTTGCAGGTGGGATTTGGTGGTGCACAGCTTTAATTTTAGCACTCAGGAGGCAAAGGCAGGCCGTATCTCTGGAGATTGAGGCCAGCCTGGTCTACATAGTGAGTTCCAGGCTAGCTGAGGCTACAGGGAGACCCTTTCACAGAAAAAGACCCCCCCCCCAAAAAAGGTTAAGAACCCATTTTCTCCAGGGTCTTTCCATCTGAGTAGTCACTTAACCATCCTCAGGCCTGACTTTCTGTCCGTTGGCCTTTACCTCCTCAGCTTAAAGGCCTAGAATGGTAATTTTCTTTTCTTTTTTTTGAAGTTCTTAAATTTTATTTTTCTGACTTGTATTTCAGTTTTATTTACACATGTATTTACTCACAATTAACATAACATAAAACTCTGGAAGGAAACAAAACAGTGTGGGTGACATAGTAAGAGTGATTTTGGAAGAGAGGGGCTCTT